ATATAAATATATATATATATATATATATATATATATACAAATGGAGGCGATCTCCAATGGTCTTAAAAGATCGCTTTTTAAAAAATTGATTTTATTATAATTCGTTTCTCTTATACAACTTTCATCTGAATATATTTTTAAATTTTGTGTGTGCGTCTGCGCGCGCGCGCGTGCATGTGTGATACATAATTTTTTAGAGATAGTACAATATCTTGTAATATATTAAATGCCCCTATATACGTATCTGATAAGTCTTCAAAATTGAGAAATTTTAGAAACTAGAAGAATTGAAGGAATTAGATTAGAAAATGACCAAATAAAATTTTTTTCCATTAAGGAAAAAATTTCAAAATTTTAATCCTGCAACTTGTATTACTTTGAAGAGTTTATAACGAATCTGTAAAATTTATCACAAATTATTCATTGATTTATGCACATTAATTATGAGTTAATTAAACATGATATTCAACGGTTCTTAAATATCCTTGGATTCTGGAATTATACTACAAATTTATGTATTCTGGAAAATTCCCTTGAAATTTCAGGACTGGCTTGGAATTTTTCGTTCTTTTCATTAAAAAATAATGGTGAAAAGAGAAAGAAATAATAAAAAGAAATTTGTGTATTTGGATATAAATAATTTCCTTAAAAGATGCAATAAGTTATCAATAGAAAACTTGAATTTAATATCTAAAATTGGAACATAGAAAAATCATTTGTGTTGATGGAATGTTCATTTAATATTATTTATTAAGCAATAAGTAATATTCCAAATTTATTAGCGTTTTAATTCATTCTATAGAATCTTGTGAAAACAGCATTACAATATTGTGAGAAATCGATGAAAATCAATTAAATAATGATAATTGATGGATCCTGGAAAAACTTAGCTTTTTACCTAGAATTATTCTTGAATTGACTAGCTAGATTTTGCTGAATACCATGTTAAAGTATATAATTCGTTTCTTCTTACAATTTATCTTATAATTCATGAAAATTGTCTTCAGTGATATTTTCATACGCTAAGTTGAATTTTTCAAATACACTGAGAAAAAAATATAATTAATTTTAATAAATATTTCGTTGGCAGTATTCAATTAAATATTTATTAAATATTTATTTCAGTGTGCTATATTTTTGTGTGACTATATTTTTTTCAGTGTGCAACTCTATAAATACGTACATATCCATTTTTATATTATAAATATTGATTTACAAATTCATTCAAATTTAACTGATCATTCCATTTCGGGGAAAGTATGAAAAAATATGACTAGCGTGGAACATTGGATTCAATCGGATTGCACTTATTCGATTCGTAACATATACCTACAACAAGTACATTTCAGCATCGTGTCCGTCACTCAGATCGAACGTGCCTGATAAATCTGATTATTCTAGAAAATTTTATATTCCATTCTAGAAAAATATACATGTAAAAATACTAGGAAAATTTATAATATAATATTAACATACAGTATATATTTTCGTCATATATTCTTATATATTATTTTATTATTTAGATATTTTTTAAAAGACTGCAGACTTTTTCGGACAATACACAATGTCTAGAAGATGTCTTCATAATGTTATTACATAATGTTAAAATATATTTTTTAAATATATTTTAAACATGTTTCCAAAACATTTTTATGATGTTTTTTTTAGACATGCATGTTGTCTGAGTTTAATGTTATACGGTTCATCTCCTTTTTCTCTTAACGTTGAAAAAAAAAGGAAAAAATATGAATTGTGCAAGAAATTGAACTAAAAAGCACAGGCTTCTTGAGAGGAATCAGAGGTAGGCAAGTATGAGGCATATAAGCATAATTGCGATAATTATATAGTTCTGTTCTTTTTAGTTGAACTTCTTACATGGTTCATCTTTTTCCTCCTTTTTTTTCGTAGAAGATAAAACGAATCATGTAAAAAAAATCTCGAAAGCGAATCAGGTAGATAGATAATACAAGCACGTAATCGTGATAATTATAGATCCGTTTTTTTTTTGTTAATTACTTGTTTTTCTTCTTTTTTATAATGTGAAGAGAAAAAGGGGAAAAATGAAATTTAGTTAGAAAGAATCGATCTGCAGGACCATTAATATTATAGTATATTTATATATATATTTATACATATACTATTCATTGTAAATTATATTTTGTATCATCTATGCAAATAACTTATAGATCATCGAAATAATTATATGTTCTTGGTCATTGCATTGAAGTTTCTTAAAAACTAAATTTTAATAAATATTTGAATAGTAACGAGCTGAATGTTTATTAAATGTAAACATATATTTATTTATTTAGTACAAGAATCACTAATTGGTTTAATTATCACTTTTATTTAATAAATATTTATTTACTGTAAATAAATGTCAAATTAGTTCTATATATTCGCGAATGTTTATTAAAATTGATTAAAACGTACATTTTTTGGCTGCAGTATAGTATAACTAAAGTTAGATACGTATTAACAATCATAAAACAATATTTTTTTCTTTATGGTGTTATCCAATTTAAATAATTTACGTATTTTGCTAAACTGTCTAATTATATTGTTTACATGAGAAAGATTCGCGTAAACTTAAACAACACAATTCCATGGAAAAGTATTCTTTGAAATATGCGGCACAATCCAGTACCGGATTTTGTAATTCTTAATAACAGTGTTAATATCCTTATATTGTACATGGTAAAAAAAAAAATGCGCAATAATGTAGATATCGAATTGTCGTTAAAACAATCATTACAAATCGAGATACTGGAAGTCCTGGAACATCATTGACACATTTTTGAAGTAATCAGACTGCGTGCTCCAGAATTACGAGGCATCGTAATACGCGGGATTCGCGCAAGTTTTGGCCTTCGCGGTGAGAGGTATCGATTCTCGTTACGATGCGTTCCCGGTCGACGTTCTCTGATCGACATGCCTCCACCTTTCGGCGGGACGTAGATCATCCTCTCGACTGCTTTTGACGGAATCGAGGTTCACGCGCTTTCGTCGGCGCCGTCGCGCGCATGTTAATTCCTGGAGATCCGATCCCCGCAAGGTTCTTCCGCATTGCGACGTCCGTCCGTCCGTTGACACGATTGTTACGCCACTGCGCCGTGTCGCCGTCGCGCTCGTGTGTACGTAATAAACACGACGCACGTACCGCACGTGCATACGAATGCGCGAGCGGAGACGTGCGCGCGCGCTTCAGTTCGTATTTACAATCGCGTAGCGGCGTATATCGGAGCCGCCGCCATTCGCGCTCGCGCTCAGCGCCTGCGTACATCTTGTTTACAACTGCGGAGCTCGGCGTACACATGACCTTTACAAGATAGACACGATCGTCTGTTCGGTTGGCTAGGCGTGAACCCGCGCGCGCGGCTCACGAGAAGGAGAAAGAAAGAGAAAGAGAAAGAAAGAGAGAGGTGTCGCGCGCGAGTGTGTTGTGTCGTGAGCGAGAGTCCCGTCGCCTTTTGCTGGAACATCCGGCGGCCACGTTACCCGGCGATTGCGGGGACTCGCACGAATTTTACGCGCGTTGAAAGGAGAGTCGAAAGTTGTGCGTTACGTCGCGATCGCGTCTGCGTCGCAATTGTGTTAACGTTTTCGCGTCGCGACGATCGACGATTAAACAACGAGAAAGACGGCCGATCGGTATAATTGCTTGCGTCTGATCTCGATCACAGTCACGCGAGTGACGACACGATTGTTTGTCGCGCGCATCCGAAGTACTCTTGGTAAGTACTGCGGGACGTGAGGGTTTATCACGCGCACGCACGCACGCATGCACGCACGCACGCCTTAACGACGGTTGAGGTGGTCGAGGAAGAATTCTATACTCGGGCGAAGGAGTCGCCTCGAATTTGTCGTCTCCGTTGGATCGCGACCCTTACGAGGTGGGACGAGGGGAGACACGGACGTGATCGTGATATCCCCGCGTCTATTTTCGTGCGTGGCTGATAGTGCGTCGTTAATCGGGTTGTCCCGGGTGTGCGTGTCGTTTCCCCTCTTCTCCTTAGACGCGGTGGAGAAGGAGGAGCGGAAGAGGAGCCACACGAGGAGCAGCTGCGGAGAAGGAGCGCGAAGAGTGGAAGTCAGTCGGCGACGGACGGAGAGCGCGGTGCGGCGAGAGGGGAGAAGAAAGGGAGGGGAGAGGAAAAGAAACTGCGTTTCTCTCCCCCCTCCCCCTCCCCGCTCCCCCTCTTCCACCCCCCGCATCGACCTGGAATGCCGCCGTCGCTGCCACGGTTGTTTTGATGTCGGCCGCCGCTATTGCGCATGAAAAAAAATCGCGTTGCCCTTGGCAGTAGCCTATTTATCGAGAGGAGCGCGCGACCGTGCCACGAGCTGTGTGCCGATAAGGGGCGAATTTCGGCCAGCCGCCCACTTGCGAGGCTCACCGTCACCCGCTATTCCCGTCTATCCATCCATCCATCCATCCATCCATCCATCCATCCGTCCGTCCGTCCGTCCGTCCATCCATCCATCCATCCATCCGTTCGTCCGTCCGTCGTGTCTGTCTGTACAGATATACGTCGGTCGTGTTTCCTCGCCACGCTGTAACACGTTTTCCACGAAAGAGACTCGAGACGTGCGGCGTTTGCTCGCGATTAGAGAGAGAGAGAGAGAGAGAGAACCTGTCTTGTTGTGAGTGTCTCTTTCCTCCCCTCTGCCGCCACGTCGCTCTTCTCTCTCTCTCTCTCTCTCTCTCTCTCTCTCTCTCTCTCGCACTCCCTGCGTCGTGAATCGTATTGCGTATCACGCTCTCCGTCTGTCTGTCTGTCTGTCTGGCTGGCTGACCGACCGTCCGTCTTTCTATCTCTGTTCCTCTGCGCGTGCGCTCGCGCGCACGTATGAGTGTAATGTGCGGTGAGCGCGCGCGTGAGTGAGTTAGTGTCGGTGTTTATTCTCGCACGCGTATGAGAACACGCGCGCGCACTCGTGTGTATACACGTCACCGTCGTGGAGCACGCAGTAAATTGTGTTATTCGGAGAGATAAACAGGTGCAGGAGGAGGGCTCGCTCGGTTGTTCGCTCGCTCGCTCACAAAACGGCCGCACCTCGTGGCATACGCGCTGTGTGACGGCTCGTCGTGTGGCTCACGGCAGTCCGGCGTCTACACTGTCCTCCCCCGATCGCGGACGCGCGTCACGAATTACTTGCTCGCGCGAGGAATGCGCGAGCGGCGGTGGCATGGCACGTCCGAGCCACCGTTGAGGAACCTCGGCGCGCCCGAGATGCGGCCTGAGCCGCCTGAGATTGGTGGCGGGCGAAATTAGACGAAACCGCGTGACAGGTGGATTCGAGGCGTGCCGAGACGTGGAGAGAAAGAGAGAAGGAGAGTGAGAAAGGAAGAGAAAGAGACGAGAGACGGTGGACGGAGTGTGAAGGAGGGAGCGTAGCGAGAGTGAGAGAGTGGCCGTCGCAATATCTCGGAGTCCGCGGGATCTTCCCTACTTGGTTCCCGACGCCGTGAACGTGCGAGCGAGAGAGGACCGAGGGTGATTGTGAAGATTGTGATCATTTCGTTGCCGCAGTCATCGTCATCGTCATCGTCGTCTCGTGGCTGGCCATAGCTCGCCATTGTTATTGTTGTCGTTCCTCCTAACCTACGAGAAGGTGGACGTCCGCGACTGCCATCGTGAGAGGAAGAGAGAGGGACGCGACGCGACACGACGCAGCAGCAGCAGCACGTCCTCGGACCTCGGGGAACGTTGCGACGAGGGCATCGCACATCGCACATGTAATCTGGCTGTTGCTCGCACGCATCGCCGTGTATATTTACGTCCCGAAACGTGCTCAGTGCGAAGGCGCGCGCGCCTCACGAGAGCCGCTCCCGATATCGTTTCCGTCGTGACTGTCAATGTGCGACGGACCTGAGCGACGCGCGATAACAGCGAGTCGACAACGAAGACGGCACGTTTTTCCTCAACAACGGAGGGAAGCATCGTGGCGCTGGAAGGCGCAGTTCGCTGACACGTTGACGGTCGTTGTTGTTATGCCCGCGAAAGTGCGCGGATCACGCTCCACCAAGGCGATTGAGCGGCGACGTTAATCGTGTTGCAGGAGCGACAGAGACGGAGAGATATCTATTATTTATTAAAAGATTGATCGATCGATTGAACTTTTATCGTCGGTTTAGGAACATGTCCTCTAAGAACATTCGAGATAAACAAAAATATCAAAAGTAAAAAATTTTATAACATTGAAAAGTAAGAATCGACAAGGAAAGTATAGTGAAACTCAAAAATAATACGAAGATACACAAAAAATTAAAGAGAATTAAGTACAAAAAATTAGAAAAGAAATCGGTATAAAACGCAGAATACAACAAATATAAATAAGACGAAAAAGAGAAAGAGGACATTTGATGCGAGTGTGGAAATTGTCGTCGTTTCTCGAGCACAATGAAATGAACTTTTGCGCCGTTGTGCGTGACGCAGTCTTTCGGTGAGGACGAGGCGCACCGCACGCACGTGTGACGACGTGCTCTCGGCACGTTCCGCGAAACGCGCCGCGCACGCCGCGGACTCGCATGCTCGAGGAGAAAGGAACAGGCAGCGGGAAGTGGGAAGCGAGCAGGGACGATAGTAGCCGGGATATCATGTGAATGATACGTAGAACGCGAAGGGCCGAAACGCTTGTATCCGCGTACTCGAGGGATTCGTTGGTAATCACTAATCGTGCGACAACGACGAAGACGACGACGACGACGACGACAACGACAACGACAACGACAACGACGACGACGATCTTTTCGATCGTCATCCCGACGATGTCTTCGGGCAGGGGCCCGGCATCGCCCTCGGGCGGGCCCGTGATCCGCTCTGGCCATCTGAAGAAGCTCAAGACGATGAAGAAGAAGTACTTTGTGCTGCGCGGCGAAGGACCCGGTTGCCTCGCCTGCCTCGAGTATTACGACAGCAAAAAGAAATTCGAGAACAGGCAGCCGCCGAAGCGCAGCATACTGCTGCACAGCTGCTTCAACATCAATAAGCGCGGCGACACCAAGCACAAGCACGTGATCGCGCTCTACACCAAGGATGAGTGCTTCTGCCTGATCCTCGACAGCGAGAAGGAGCTGGACGAGTGGCTCAAGGCGATGCTTAGGCTACAGAGCGGGGACGTGCCCGACGGGGAACAGCCGCGGCCTACATTCGGTAAATAAGTCAATTGCGCCGTTTTTCCATTTCCCGCCCGAACTCCCGTCAGGAGAACTGATAAGCAACCTTTATTGCTCCTTTGCAACCTTTATTACTCCGATCGATATATACGTATAATCGCGCTATCAAAAATTAGCCATCGTCATAAACGGATATCGATATATTGACGTTTAAATTCCCGCTTGTTATTTATTTGTCTAATAATGACATTTGCGTTCTTTAGTTAGCAATTTACGTACGGCCTTGATATACATTCTGTTGCGTCTTGGAAAATATGAGTCTTCTCGTTTTCTGCGGATGATAATCGATTTTTTTTTTATGAGATTATCGTGTACCTTTTCTATGATGAGATTATCGCGCACCATCGACTGACGTAGGGACTAGCAACAGAATTTGGTCGCATGTACATGTTTGTTTATATCTACACTATAGAATGAATCGATGATTTTCGGAATGCCTCTCCGCGAATTTTATGTTTCATTCCTTTTTTTTTAAGAAGAACAAGAGTTTTCTTGTAACTTAAAAAAAAATTGCCTATTTTGTCCATATCAAATTTTATAATTGTGTACATATTCTTGAGAAATTTATGCGAAACTAAAGGGATAGATACAAAGATGCACAATAAAAAGTGCATCGCTACTATCTGTGTATTTTGTGACTTCCACATTTCGAACGAGTTATGTAGCCTTGAAATAAAAATAACGTTGGCAATTGTTTATGTTTTTGTGTTCCTTGCAGGAACAAAGAAAACAAGAGTAATGTCGGATAAATAAAACGCCTTTGTTTCAAATTATGTATTACTCCTTTGGTCCCTCTACACAGAATCTCTGTTTTAATATAAAAAAGATTCCGTGTTTGTCTTGATTATTAACACAATTCTCTTAATATATATGAACTAGAATTATTTTATACAAGAGTCAGTATTTATATTATTTTATATTTTCGAGCATTATTCACTATAACGAATTTGAACTACAAGTTTTCTACAACATTTAAGTATATGCAAACATACATAATAATAAATAATAGTGAACTTGTTTGCGTTATAAATAGATGTTTATTGCATAATATTACTATGCATAATATACAATTCCTATAATAATTTACAGTAAATGAATTATAACAGATATTTTAAGTTTTCCATGTATTATTTTGAATTCTAAATTTTTAAATATAATTGATTATAGAAAACTTAAAATATTTGTTGTCCCTTCACAATGCATGTTTACACTTACCTATTGAAATTAAATATAGTTTATTACATAATGAAGTATTACATTCATAAGTTATTTTCGTATTTCAAATGAGATTAGTATCTTATATTTTTTTTATGTCTTTCAGAACACGTGTGGCAAGTTACAATGCAAAAAAGAGGTCTCGGTGCACGAAAGAACATTCATGGACCCTACAGATTATGCCTCACCGATCAAACTTTAAGTTTAGTGAAAATTGGGGCACAGGATAACTCTGATTCTATCGAGATTTCTGTAAGTTTACGTTAAATATAGTTAATGTAGTGTAGCATGTTACAGACTAGTACTTATAGCTATAATCTTTATTTTTTTTATGTATAATCTTTTATTTTTTTTTGTACGAGCTTTGCTATTTAATAACAAAAGAACGCCGTAGTCTAATTTTAAAGCGTTTTTATTCATGGTGATCCGAAATGTATTTAGACGGATCAATTTTCACCATGAATAATAAAGTGAATGAAAGATTTTGTTTAGACTAAGCGACGTGACACGGCGAAAGCATTTGAACACGGTGATATTTCAATGCCTTGATATATTATTGCCTGTTTGGAAGGCTTACCGTGAAGCTTCGCAAATTAAGCGCCTTAATAATGCGCATTATTATTAAAAAATATATCTTAGAATTTTGTTATCGTTAGTTGAAGATTAACAAAATTTGACATTTATATTAGAATCAATATACAATCACTAAATTTTTTTTCTCTTGCAGCTAAATTATATTAGACGATGTGGATTTGCGAATGATATATTCTACATAGAGGTTGGCCGATCCGCCGTAACCGGAGATGGCGAATTTTGGATGGCAGTCGAAGATAACAATATCGCGCTCAATATGTACGATGTTATAACGACTGCGATGAGGAATTCGAAAAGTAACAAAGACGAAGTTGGACCTCGCCAGAGAACGCGTAGTTCCTCCGCCAACGAAGCCAGTAAACCTATATCCGTTCTTCAAAGACGGCATACAGGTCAAAAGCTTCATGGCTTTTCGCCCCTAGGTAAGCTGCAATTTTCGCAAATCTGCTCCTTGTACATATCGTTTATCCATTGTGTTTTATACCAGGATGTAAGTTATCAGTTTTTTTCAACGTGTTTCGTATTACTTATCGAAATGTGATTTTCGTTTCGCATATGTAACTTGGGATATATCGGTTATCACGTTTATAATCCGAAGTCGACAGAGATACTGCGTCTCAGTTTGCTTCGATATACGTCATTTGTGTATTTAAAATTATCCTTTTTACAAATTCCTTTTAAATCCGGACTTGAAACTTCGTCTAATACACCGTTCCTTTACACATAATTGCACACGCACATTAAATAAATTGTATACTTTAAGAAAACCAGGTGAATCGTCGTATGTGTACACATTAGTGTTCAGCTTTAGAATAACACAAATGGGTTTACGGGGTTTACAGAGGAACAGAAGACATACAAGGAGCAAGTGGAACCATTGCAAGAGCAGACTGCTACTTCCTCTGTTCTCACACAGTGTAGTCAATCTCGGAATACCTCCTCCACCAATACAGTCACGGGTCTGTTCTCTGTCACAATAGCTATTTGCTTTCCTTCTTTCGCGTTTCATGGATTTTGAATGGCAAAAAGGACACATAAAAACAGTGAACATGTCGTTTATTTTTCTTCAATTTTCCATTTCATGGGATATAGGACTTTATCCAAAAACTTGATCATTGCATTTTTCTTTTTATTACATTTGATACATATTGCAACACATATTATTTACATATACGCAATTGATATGACTTTTATTTTCAATTTTTTAGAAGAAATAAATTTAAAAAAAATTGTGCTATCATATATTCTCATTTCATTTGTAAATATCATTTATTATATTATACACATAGCTTATTTATTTATAATACATTATCTTTTGGAAAGAATTAATAAATGTTTAATAAAATGGGAAATATTTTTTTAACGTTAAAAGTAATGTCAACTTATTGTTATGTTCATATCAAATAAATTTTTGGAAACATGTAGATTGAAAAGCTAAAGCTGAAACTTTTATACGAATGCAATGATCAATTGTGTTAAAAATAAAAATTTGGGTCAATCAGTAATGCATCATTTTCTGAGTGTTAGTTTCATAGTGTAAATAGCATGATTGATACAATCGGCAAGTTATCTGGAATCTGTAAATTGTCTAATGTCAGGTATCATATATATATATGTGTATAATGCATCTTGCTAAAATGATGACGAAAGACAGGAAACTGAATTGATACGCTTTATTGTCATTTGTAATGTTATTGGTGTTTTATCATAATTCTTTTTTCACGTAAAAGTTATCGTCATAAGAAAAATCAAACTTAAGAGAACAGTTAGTTGAAAAGGATTATTAAAATAGGTTTTGTGTGTCAGACTTGTCAATAACTCATCGCGAAACATAAGAGATAGATTCTTTTTGCGGTCATGTCTTTAACAGCACGATTGGTACACTATCCGTGCCGTATCTGTCATATCCGGCACAAGATGCACGTAAGACAAAAGACAGTTGTGCGATAGTGAGAGGTGTGTGGTTTGCAGCCGTTGCTGGTACCGGGGCTTGGACTACTGGGATTGCCACGACTAATGCCAACAGTGCCGGTACCGCTAGACGTCGTCATTCGGTAGCGAGTCATCCTCATTCCGTCAATAATTCCCAATCCGTTCACAATGTCACAACAGCAACAAATGCAACTATGACTACTACTACTGTCACTACCACTACCATCACTGCAACCACCACTACCATCACCACCACCATTACTGCGACCGTCACCGCGACGATCACTACAACCACAACCGCGACAATATCCCATCAGAGAACCTTGTCGCTGCCCTTAGCTGCCGTTATTATCAATCAAACGCAACCATCTAAAAGATCCGTTTTACGGTGTATGTATTTCGTTTCGTCACACATATTTGTTTAATCGATCCGAATCTCTGTTTTATCCTTCAGTGTTTCTGCAATATGCTTGTTTTGCTCTTTTTGTTACACATTCATTCCTTCCAAACTGTATAAAGCCAATCAATGTTATGTTTATCTAATAAGAGATCATAGTAATTACAATTGTAAAGTTTTGCTAGCATGCTATATTATTAAGTGCTATTATTAAGTGCACGATGTATTATGAAACAAATGCTTTAGTTCGTATCTTCTATTCATTTGTTATTGAACATAAGGAATGATGAATATGTTTTGTACATTTCTCCTGGACGCTCCATAGTGTTGATACTTGGATAATAATTTCTGCAAGCTGGTTATCATAATCCTTATTTTGCTATATTTAATTTTTAATCCGAATTCTGCAAACGCGCAGAATATTTTTTATGAAGTGACTATGATTACTGTTGCTTAACTTAAGAAAAAAAAAATATATATATACATATAACAATAAAAAATATATTGTGTACATATATAATAATTTATATATGCGAACATATAAAACTAACCGCTGTTGCTATGCTGGGACAATGGAACTGGCTTCTTTCTACTGTATGCAAGTAAACATCACGAGGAGATTTCTGATGAGTATCTTTGCAGGTGCTACCGGGCGCGATCGATGCGACAGTTTGCCATCGAGAGCTCGTACTACCAGTGAGGGACAACCAACTACAGTTGTGTTAAGCCATCCTAGAGGAGCCCATATTATGTCGCACGTACCGCGACCGCATTCCATGTGTGGCCGAGGCCTCTCATATTCTCCACCAATCGCGTCGATGCCTATTAGTCCATCTTCCGATATCTGTTCGTCGGATTCGGCCGGATCGTCACCTTCGATGGATGATTGTGGTGAGAATATTTTGGAAGAAAGCACTGTCTCGAGGTACGGGCATTCCTTGACACCTGACGAGCCTGTAATCTTAGACAAGAAAGGTGACGACTATGCCCTGTGGTCAACGTCGCATCCACATTTGAAATACTCGCCAAACTTTAAATCTCATTCGCCCTCTCAGGTGGGTGTATTCGTAATATTACTTCTGAATCTTAACATATTATTAATAAAAGAGCTTTTATACAATATAAAACATATAAGGATAGTAAACCATCTTCTAATCTCTATGTAGTAAAGAAATTTATCTTTTATGTTTAATAAAATCCAATAAATTCTCCCTTTTTATAATATTTATAAATAATAAACTCAAATTCTTATTTTTACTGGTTTGTATTTTCTATATTTTATTTAAATAAAATGATATTTAATTCAAACAAAGTACTGTTTTATACTTTTAATTGCTGGGTAAACTAATAATTGATCGTTTTGGTTGCAGAGTTCCTACCAGAGTGAAATGTACAGTCCCTGTGGGTCGAGTCCGGGTCGTGGAGGCGTATACATGCCCATGAGCCCGGCGACAACGGCTCATTCGCATTCCCGTGGATCATCCCTTGTGGAGGAAAGCAATGTGGATGGCTACGTACCGATGGCACCAGTTGGAGATGACGGTTATGTCGATATGGATCCTGTAAATAGTCATAACGGTCACTTTTCGGACGATATGTCGCAGAACGATGGCAGTAGCTGTTCTGTTACGTCTGGCACGCCTAGTACGGATCTGCGGTTTTCTGAGTATCATTTGGACAAGGTAACCAGCTTTTTAACACCTGGGGAAGATCTGCAAGCCAGACAAACCAGAGCTTACTCCGTTGGATCGAGACCGGAACAAGCCAATAGGCATCGTAAAAATAGGTAGTTAAAAATATTATTTAGATTTTAAATATTATATACGTTGTTATTTGATATAATATTATTCACAAAATTCTATGACATGATTTGAGAGAATGTTTCAACTAAATGAGTTTTAATCAGATTTAATTTCTGAGTAATTATCGTGGTCATATGGGATCGTGACATAGAAATGACACCTTGAAGTTTTTTGCTATTCGTAAATAAAGAGAATTTGGGTAAAAAGAAATAATATGATTGCTTTAAAACAATTAAAACACTTGTAAAATTGGGCCGAAGCTGTCCTTATTCCCCTCCCTCCTCTGACAGTCAGTAGATAGTCGTAAAAGCATGTAAAGTGAAAATAGGCTACGCATGTGAATTAAGTGAACGCTGGCAAACACAGTATGCAAATTTCTCACTTACGATGTCAATCCAATATGGCTGCAGCGATTACTCAGGAGCTTTAAACGTTGTTTAGTACTCCACCGACATGAATGATATGAATGGCATTTTTTACTTTACATTAATCTCTATGCAGATTGGACATTACTCCGCAAGACGCCAACAGAGTACGAGCATTTTCCGTAGGTAGTCGATCTAAGAGGCCTGAGATCGGAAGGCTAGCCAATGTAATTACTGCGCCATTACCAGCTGGTTCGGAAACCACAAATTCGAAGTCAAGTTCCGCGCCGTTGCTGTCGAGCTCTTGGGGACACAATTCGGGTTGCTCCGGAGCGTCCGATCGTATGGAGGATCTCATGGAGTTGGATTTCACGAGACCCAGTGTTCCAACCGCTCTCTCTTCGCCTCCGACATCATGTTCCCAACCTCAGTCGCAACCGCAACTGTACTCTACTTATTCTACTGCCACCGACACTAGTTCCTATGTCGACATGTCGCCCGGACAAGCTCCCATATCGACTACTGCCCCATACGTCGATATGAGTGGCATAAATAAGGTATTATCGATATATCGATGTTTTTGCTGATAAAATTGTTGCATAAGCCGTTGTTAAGTAACAATAAAAATTATTTTCTTACAGATCAATCGCAATAACAATAATAATACAATCACTGCCAACCATAATCATAGCCACATGCATATATCATCGCTAACTTTCGCTCATAAACCTGTAATTACAACTTTAAAGCCGGTAGAAGAAGCTGAGGGACCTTATATGAAAATGGATGGTACCATAGAGATAGATTGGACGCATTCGGAAGCGAGTCCGAAACAATTGTCATCGCCTATTCAAGAGGATACCTATCAAACAAATGGGCCACCAGGTATTAATTTGTAAACATTTATTGCAAAAAAAATTCTTAAATTCTTAATTCTTAGAATATTATTCTTTATATAATATGATGCAATAAAAATAATATTTGTGAAAATTATTATAAATATTGTTTAGGCAGCACAAGAACAGCACCTGTAGATCTTCCGCAACCAAGGCGTCCTCCGGAGGGCTACGTCGAGATGTCTTTTAAAGCGCGGCCGAGTTTGGAACAAGATTACATAAATATGAGTATGGGTGGGAACAATCGAAACAATCGTAAAACACGAACGGGCAATCGCAAGGAAAAATCGCGATCGCAACCAATCGCGATTCAGGCAGGCAGCAAGCCATCTAAAACTCCAAATTTTCTACCTTTGAATGGAAGTCCGACATCCGAGAGTCTAGCGAGCACTCCCGCCTCTCCGCCGCGAGCAACACCAACGGGTTCATCGGCCACGATTTTCCCCTTTTCTCTGAACAGTCCTCAGTCACCTGTAAAACCTTTCACGAAAAAAAACGATGAGTTCTCCACGACAGAAGGAGAAGGTTTTTCTAACCAAAATAAAAATAATGAATATGCAGTGATGGAACCCGCAAATACGGTTTATACACCGTGTTCTACCCCGTTGACGGAAACGATATCCTTGTCGAACGCAAATAGCGAGAAGCCACCTAGTCCTGTAGAGAAAAATGTTCGAATTATATTAAAGTCTTCGTCATCGCAAGAACACGGTAAGCCCATTAACGTAATAACGAAAAAACTGTCGGATCTAACGGTGTCGAAACCGCGTCTCGTCACGGCCTCACCGAACACCAGTCCTACCCTGACGGGTTTCAAGCCGTCAACCGTGCAACAGCCGAAGCCATCCTCGCCAAAATTCATCGACGAGACTCCCACGCCTACGCCCACATCTACACCCACGCCCACGCCAAGTCCGTTGGACAGCGAGGGCTACGAGAAGCTTCAACCAGGCGCGACAATACTGCATTACGCTAGTCTCGATCTGCCGGAGGTCGATAATCCAGCGCCCGTGTCGCCGGCGTCCACGCAGGAGAATTTCACCTACGCCGAGATCGACTTCGCGAAACTCAAGCAGACCTAAAATATGCGCTATCCAGAATGCGCATATTTTGCTGCCCCCGTGTCGCGTACAAGGCTGTGCGTGACGTGGGGTGGTTTGGCTGACGCCTCTTGTGTTCCCCACGATAGCAACGAGTAGGCAGGGTATAATCGATCGTTCTGACATTGGCTCTGCTGGTCTAACGAACAAGACGCCGGGTAGGAACTGTATATATAATTCATTTCTTTTTCTCTCCAGCCTAATGGCATTATACCGCTCGCCGATCTTTCTTATGTAATAGATTGGCAGCCTATTTTACATTGTTTGAGAAATAAGCATCGTTGGTACCTATAGTTCTGGTTGTACTGCATTAATATCGTATTTTATCGGAATGATGTGAAATTTTTTAATATAAGTGAAATACACTTTTCTCGCTGATTCCGAAGAGAGTCCTCAAATCTGTCCACATGTATGCTATTTCTAATATTAAACGATCGATAATTTAACGGAAAAGAGCAAATTACGAAAACGTTAACTTTTATTTTTAGTTAAAATATTATATTTGTATAATTGGGTTAGTAGAAGAAATTTTTTTGATATTAGAATATATCATCTAGTTAAATGAGAATCGCTTGTAAAAATGTATAAATCTTTTAAATTTTAATTTTGTTAGTGGATTTGCGTGTTATCTCTATCAAAATTTGTTTTGTATTATATTTCTAGATGCTGACAAGCCAAATATGTATAAGTCAATTCTTTTGAGATATATATAGATATATACACACCAAATTTAAACTTGTATATTTATGATAATCTCCTAATATATATATGACGATGAAATTTATTTATATTGATTGTTTTTGGAGCTGCGCTCATACGTAACATAAATTCTATTATTTTTCAGTACGCGTATAAATTTTAACGACGTACATTTTATTTGCCCATTGTAAATTATATTGAATTTGATTTTTCGAAAAAAAAATCTGCACTTTATTGTTCTGTACAGGGAATAGCATGTTACTCTATTTACATGTTCACTTATTTACCTTAACGTTTTATAACAGCTAAATTGTCGAATTTGGATATGTTTGTGCATTGTTTTAAAAAGAAAGTAATTGTATACATATGTGTGTATAAACTTGCGCGACATTGTGTGACATATAAGATATCGGCTTCTATTTTAAATGTTTTATCTTTATCCGAAAATCTCTGGACATTCAATGAGACCTTAAATAACGGAATCTGCGAAATCTTAGATGTAAGGGAAAACGTGAAACCATGGATTTACAATTTTTATAATTCTCGAAAGGATCATTCTAAGCCTATTCTTGCGCAGAAATATGTTCCGACGAGATCTCGTCGGTCTTTCACCGAAATGGATGAAAATTCTCACAATTTCAACGAAATCCTGCTTTTAGACGTTGCGATTAATCCGTTGATATCAGCATTAATTGGAATTGAATTGAACGAAATTGAGGTATTGTAAGCTTTAGGAATATCACATAGAATACGGTGGTGTGTAACAGTACACTACCAGAAACATAAGTACTGAAAGAGAAACGCGACGGACTTGATCTTCGTAACGATTAATTGCGAACCGGATGAAATTCCGCAGAGCGAAACCGATATTCAATAGATACCGGAAGTATACATCGTTGCGCTTTCGCGTCTTCTCTGTGCCGAATTTTAATCCGATTGTCTCCTCGCGAAAGGAATGTTACCCGCCAATGTTAGATCGACATCTCTCATAGAATTCGTATTGCAGACAAAATAGATGTTCCGTACACAATGGCAGTATACATGTGTTATAACGCTTTTCATATAAATTATGACGGGCCGAAGGCGCCTTGAAAGAGCTAATTCGGCCTCGTATACACACGTACACATAAACATAGTCGCATGACGCGTATACATATATGCATATTCGTGCTGCAGGATATTCTGTGAAAACGGTACAACCGACACGTCGTGCCGAGGAACGATACAAAGAAAGATGATGTAGAGTAATATTTAGTAAGAGAATTATTTAAGGAAAAAAAGAGCAAAACGGATGAGGAAAAAAAAGAAAGGATAAAGATGCCTATGTGTAACGAATCGATTTTTCGGTTCAATAGAACGGCTTATCTCGTTTGAGCTAAACAAAAATATTCGTTCTTTGCATGTATTTCTTATTTAAACGTATTACGGTTGTATCGTAACGTACAGGGTGTCTTGTATATGTACATGTATGTCTGACTGACACTTTTCATGTGAATTACGAGCGCGTGTGCGTGCGTGCATGCGTGCGTGCGTGGATGGATGCGTGCGTGCGTGCGCGGTCTTTTCGTTGTTATGTATGTACATGGAAGTATATACGTGACGGACATATGTGTACGTATACATATATGTACACACATACACACATACATATATATAAATATATATATATATGTTATAAATATTAAGTATAATAATAATTAATAAACTCGCAATATATATATACCGTTGTTTTATTTTTTATTAAACCTTCGGGAATGTCTCATAAATTTTAAGGACTTGTCAATGAAAGAAATCAGCTTTGATTAATTTTTTTGAAATGTAATTTTAAATGAATAATTATTTAACAATTAATAATTATTTTCTAAGTTTCTATTTGTAATATTTTTCTTATATACTCTGAATAGTTTATATTGATACAACAGCTATAATATTGAAATATATATGATTTATAAATACAATGTACAATCTTATGAATGAAAATCTCACGATCAAAGTTATTTAAATATTTTCTTGGTTTTATGCATATAAGTCTTTATTTTCAAGTATTTGAGTATTATAAGCTATAAATATGTATATTCTCTCGTGTCTATGCATATTCGAATAAACTTAATTTATCATTATATATAATTTATCTAAAATTATCGCCATTTCTTTTTATTAATTTTTTAAATCTAATTTAAGAAAATTTATTGTGACAAATATCTTATAAAAATGTAAAATGTTCTAATTATTTCCTGTTAGATGACGCCACTTGTTCTATACCTGCGATATTTTTCGAATCGGTTCTCGCACATAATACCTACACTTAATTAAATTTATCAAATAAGCGTTTATTATTAGTTTGTTTATCAAAATTATCGATTAACGTATGAATCAAATAGAATTGGAACTCGATCCGCATACATTTATTTGAATAAATTTTTAATTTAAAGAAAGTAAGTTATATTCTGGAAGAATAATTAGAGTACTATATTACCGATATTTTACAAAATAATGTAATAATACGATTTCTATTTTGTCAACATAATTACACAACATTTTTTGCATGTCACATAACACAATAACATTTTTTAAAAGAATTATACACAAACACATATCGATTCATTATTTGAAAATATAAAAATTGCTTCAAAATGTTTCATAATATAAAAGAATTAATCTTAAAGAATGCATCATCTTAAATAAAATCAAGCTTTACATATAAACAACTAATAAAATTTCATTTAATTTAAAATAAATTTTAACAGAAATTTTAGAATTATCGTTCTTTTCATCAATGTCACATGAGAAATTTATTTTTTATCTGAACATTTTTCGAAAATTTTTATTTGTATTTATTGTCAAAAATAGCGAATAATAGTTACTTATGTTTGAATATCTGAAATATCTAATGCAGCAAATACTACGAAAAATTTGGAAACTAATACAGGCATTTAACAATAAGAAACCGAGATCTTTTTATATTACAAAAATAAAATATATTAAAATAATATGTAAATATTTATTAAAATTAGAAGAACGAGATATTAAATATGTAATATTTACAAATAAAAACTATATTAAATACATATTTATTAAGTTCAAAATTCACATCGTGATCCTATTGCAGGATACAAGGTGTAGGTCAGGTAATAGATTTGTAAATTTAGGATTAGTGGCTGATAGCTGAAAATGTAAATTTCTTTAGTCTGGAAACACAATGGTGTCTCGATGCTAAGCTAAGTTTCTATTACGTTCCTCAATAATAGAATTGGTACCTGTTTTTACAATAATTTCTACAATGCACAACCTTTTAAGTAGAGTCCACAGTTTTTGTAGCAAAGAGTTGGACAGTCACAGTTATTAATATTATAGAAAATTTATGTATATCACGATATCTAATTGTAAACTGCAGTTAAATCGATGAATATTTTGAAAAATATAAAGATAAATTTACAAAAGAAATAATCTTTTCAGCTGCTCTCTCTTGGAGAGAAAAAAAGAGAAGATGAATGATGCAAATTCATAAATATGAATTGATAAAAACAGTCCTAAAATCTAAGGGAAAAAAACTTCAAAGATATTTAATGAAAAGATAAATGAACTAAGAAATAAACGAATAAAATACCAATAAAAGAAGAATAGTTGCTAATTATTTCTTCAATGATCGAATTCTACATTTTATTATTTCATTCAAAACTCCAAAAAATATAACTTTTTACGCAATTATGTTGTATTTTAACATGGAAAGAACGGTTTTGCTGTCTAAAAATTTAGATACAGATGAAAATAATTTTGTTAACTATAAACGCTAGAATGTTAATTCTTTGCAGCATTGCTCACATTACGCTTGAATTTCTTACATAATTATTTTCATTATTCAACAAAATTATCTTTAAATCTGTGTCTACTTAAATTTTTATAGCAAAATCATTCAATAAAATCATTCTTTCCATGAAAGAGATAAAATATAAGAAAGTATTATATAATATACTGCGCACAATGGAGGGAATATTATATAAAAACAGGAATAAATTAAGAGTTTAACCTATCAAAAATCGTGTATTCTGATGTAACCAGTTTTTGATACGTTGAAATCTTAATAAGCATTTATGCCCGTCATTCATAATTAGGTCTATTTAAGGTTTCCTTAAATTTATCTTCAGATGTTCTACAAATTATTTCATTGAACTACATCTAAAGATAAATTTAAGGAAGTACAAGATCTCAAGTACAAGATCTAATTATGAATACGGGCATTATTTTTCTATCGTACGTATTCGCTAACACATAACACGCACACGAATGTGCGCATCCTCGCTGATTATTCGCAATAAAAATAATACGATCTACGCGCGCGCGCGCGGATTTTCCTCTACGCACTTTACGTGCCACTGCATATAACGTAGTATAACGTGATATAACGTGCGCGTTATCAATGGTGTTTATGATCCAGTCTCCTGAGAGGAGCCTCATCAGTGAGGCGAGCGCGTGAATTCAGACACACTCTCACAAGCGGGCATACGCCTGCTAATTGCAGCTGGGTCTAATTGATTATGGGGCGGCCGTTTTACGATGTTTGGCGAACATGTCATCTCGCGAACCGTCTGGCTTGCGCATGTACGACGGCGACGCTACATGGGTGGAGCTCGTGAACGGGCGTCGCGATGTCGACGTCCGGGGCTTCCACGAGTGTCTAAACCGGGGTTGCGGAGGATCGATTAGGGAAGAGTCTCTTCAGGAAGCGCGATGTTCTCGGAGGCCTTTCGTTTCGCCACACTTGTTCGAAGCGACGACTCGCTATTTATTCGGACAGCGCGACTTATTTAACGTTCATTC